GAGGTTTGACACCATCGTCTTAGAGACACTATAACACACCACACACGATATAGTGAATATCATGAGTGTGATGTAGCAATGTGTATAGTGAATATCATGTGTATAGTGATGATCTTCACTGCAGATAACTGTGATGAAGATTTTACATAGTGTTTACCTGTATTACTTTATGTCACAAAAAACAGGTTTACAGTTTAAAGTCTCAGAAATATATTGTTTTACTGTAAAAACATTGCAGTTATATATCTGTCTACTTCACTGGTATGTTTATAAAACATATCCAGTCCTTCAATAATCTGAGTGGTCCGAACACCACTTCAAAAAGGGTACATTTCAATCGTTCGAAATTAATAGGAGACCGCCCTCTTCCTCCTCCCTCTCGCAGCCCATGGAATTGATGGATGGAAATATTGAGAGTGACTGACGGCTGAAAATTGCATTCTTCTACTCTCCACTTCCTCTGCAATTATTGTGCATCCTCGTATCTTCTTTCACTACTCTTCTACGTCCTTCAATCTCCCTCTACCTCTCTTCTACGTCCTTCAATCTCTCTCTACTTCTCTTCTACGTCCTTCAATCTCTCTCTACTTCTCTTCTACGTCCTTCAATCTCTCTCTACTTCTCTTCTACGTCCTTCAATCTCTCTCTACTTCTCTTCTACGTCCTTCAATCTCTCTCTACTTCTCTTCTACGATCTTTCATATTCATCTACTTTTGTTTGACGAGTTCCGTCTTCCCATATTTTTTAGGCTTTCAGGTTATTGTAATATTACACATTTTCCATATTGTCTCCATGGCAACAATCTATTTCACTGGTTTTAGTGTTGCCATATTGCTTTTATGGCAACACGCAACACTCCATATTGCCTCTATGGCAACACTTAGTCTCCATTCACAACTCTTAGGCAAACCCTCCATTTCCATCCACAACTTTCCTACATCATTTCCTCTACTTTCATTTCTATTCATGACAGATTTTGCATTTCCCAACATCAACAATTGCCCTGAGTAATTCACCCGTTATCAGCCCACAAGTATATGAATCAAATTAGACGGTAGTTGATGTATTCATCCGGGAGTAATTAACAAACTATTAATTGGGCTAAATGAGCCGTATGTAGTCAGGTGGCTCGTATTAAGTGGGTAAAGCCATTTGCGTGGGTGGACACTTTAATAGTGCTTGGATAGAACCGTCAACTCAATGTGGATAGATGAATAGAACATGGGACAGAACCGTCATCTCTGTGTGGATAGATGAATAGAACATGGGACAGAACCGTCATCTCTGTGTGGACAGGTGAATAGAACATAGGACAGAACCATCGCTTCCGTCAGGACAGGTAAACAGTGCCTGAATAGATCCCTTACCTCCGTGTGGATAGGTAAACAGTAGCTGGACAGAGCCATCACTTCCATATGGACAGGTAGTGCCTGGCAGACCTGTCACCTGTGTGGACAAGCAGACAGTGTCAGGACAGAACCATCACTTTTGTTTGACAGGTTTTTATTATGACTACGGCAATCAAACTTGAATTTGAAGTCGTTCGTGTAAATTTGCATAAATAATTTGCATACCGGGAGTGTTAATAATTAACTTAAGACGCTGCTAAAGTGACACACCAAACTGCACCAGCACCTTACAGCACCAGCACCTTACAGCACCATCACCTTACAGCACCAGCACCTTACAGCACCAGCACCTTACAGCACCAGCACCTTACAGCACCATCACCTTACAGCACCAGCACCTTACAGCACCAGCACCTTACAGCACCAGCACCTTACAGCACCATCACCTTACAGCACCATCACCTTACAGCACCATCACCTTACAGCACCAGCACCTTACAGCACCACCACCTTACAACACCAGCACCTTACAGCACCATCACTTACAGCACCATCACCTTACAGCACCATCACCTTACAGCACCAGCACCTTACAGCACCAGCACCTTACAGTACCATCACCTTACAGCACCATCACCTTACAGCACCATCACCTTACAGCACCATCACCTTACAGCACCAGCACCTTACAGCACCAGCACCTTACAGCACCATCACCTTACAGCACCAGCACCTTACAGCACCATCACCTTACAGCACCATCACCTTACAGCACCAGCACCTTACAGCACCAGCACCTTACAGCACCATCACCTTACAGCACCATCACCTTACAGCACCTTACAGCATGAAGCATGCAACTCCACCATGTGACCAAATCGACAGGAGCCGTGATGAGGGTTCGAACCTATGTACTGGGTGTTGTGAAGCATAAACAGAAACTTGAGATTATTCGAAGGTTTGCAACTACAGTAGATTAGTACCAGTATTGAGAGGCCTCCGCTATGAGGACAGATTGAAAGAAAACTCATCTTCACAGCCTTAAGAGGAGAATCAAGGGATATGATCACGACATACAAGATCCTGAGGGGGGAATAAAGTGGGTAATGGAAATTAGACACGCAATTGAGTCGAAGAAATGTAAGGAAGCGCTCTTACCATGTGTGAAAGCTCGACAAGCGAAGGGGGAGGTTATTGATATCAATTCCAGCCACAACTTTAAGATAACATACGATGAAAATATTGACGTTCTGACAGAGGTAATCAGCACGTCTATCTTGAGGCTATCGTGAGATGATTTCGGGGCTTAGCGTCCCTGCGGCCCGGACCTCGACCAGGCCTCCTTTTTGTTACACATCCCCAGGAAGACAGCCTTACCTGTCTAACTCCCAGGTATACCTATTTACTGCTAGGTAACAGGGGCATCTGGGGTGAAAGAAACATTTTGCCCATTTGTCTCCACCTCCGCCGGGGATCGAACCCGGAACCTCAGGACTACGAATCCGAAGCGCTGTCCACCCAGCTGTCAGGCGCCCTTATGCGTCAGGTATAAAAAATTACTAGATGAGGTAAACAAGCAAGCACACAACACAATCACAACACACAACCTGAGCAATACAGTGTTGAGACATATTCTATGTTCCTTGAAGAAATGAATTACGATAACGTAAGTTAACAGCTTAGAATACTGTTATATATGCAGGCGATGAGTCACAATAACGTGGCTGAAGTATGTTGACCAGACCACACACTAGAAAGTGAAGGGACGACGACGTTTCGGTCCGTCCAGGACCATTCTCAAGTCGTTTCGGTCCAGGACGGACCGAAACGTCGTCGTCCCTTCACCTTCTAGTGTGTGGTCTGGTCAACAATAGTGTTATATCTTTGAGAGAGTGATCATGGGAGACAAGCGAGTTCTAATTCCATCTGAACATTCGTAGGATGATGAACACACCTGGCTAACAGCGTTGAAGGATAGTCAACATACGGCAACATTCACTCAATCCCCAATACCACTATCCAGTAAATTTCCCCTTGGAACAAACCCAAATCAGGGGCATTGAAGAGAGGACAGCAGAAGAGGATAGCGGGCGGGTGAGGAATAGCTGAGCCAGTCCATCCCAGCAGTCGTTACTGCTGGAGGTCCTCGTGGGCCCTCACACACGCCTGGTGGTCCTCGTGGGCCCTCACACACGCCCGGTGGTCCTCGCGGGGCCCTCACACACGCCTGGTGGTCCTCGTGGGCCCTCACACACGCCTGGAGGTCCTCGTGGGCCCTCACACACGCCTGGTGGTCCTCGTGGGCCCTCACACACGCCTGGTGGTCCTCGGGGGCCCTCACACACGCCTGGTGGTCCTCGGGGGCCCTCACACACGCCCGGTGGTCCTCGGGGGCCCTCACACACGCCTGGTGGTCCTCGTGGGGCCCTCACACACGCCTGGTGGTCCTCGGGGGCCCTCACACACGCCTGGTGGTCCTCGTGGGCCCTCACACACGCCTGGTGGTCCTCGTGGGGCCCTCACACACGCCTGTGGTCCTCGGGGGCCCTCACACACGCCTGGTGGACCTCGTGGGCCCTCACACACGCCTGGTGGTCCTCGGGGGCCCTCACACACGCCCGGTGGTCCTCGGGGGCCCTCACACACGCCCGGTCAAATAAACGAGACCGGCCAATATTGCCGGAGAAATGAAGTGCGGTTTTAGGGCCGCGGGGAAAGCCAGTCCGGGACTTTCCGTTCCCGCCAAGATGTCGCGCCCGGGCATATTGTCTCGGTAATTTACGACTGTCTAGTGTCACCTTATTTATTACCCTCGGATACAGCTCCTGGCTCCCAGTATTCCGACTTGCTCCTGTTTATTGCTTTGAAGAGCAGGAAAGAAGTGGTGCTTGGGGGAGCATGGCACGGTGTGTGTGTGTGTGTGTGTGTGTGTGTGTGTGTTGACTCATCTCGCCAATGACTCACTTGCTTCGTGCTATCATGCTAAACTGTAATTATATACAGATTTTGCGTTAATAATCTCCGTCATTAACCCGGTACATTAACCCGGTACATTAATTTGCAAGACTTATGTTGCAATTCATTCTAACATGTGTTTCTTGTTTACATTTAGGATTTCCATGTGAATCGTTAGTACTTCTAATTCTCGTTTTAAACTCTGATAATTTGGTCTGCGTTATCGATTCTATTTAGTATTTTGTACGTTGTCGTCATATCCCTCTTGTTCATATTTCTCCCAGCGTGCTGAAGTCCCTCAGACTTTCACTATATTTTAATCTCTTCCTTTTCAGAAAGCTGTCTCAACTATGTTTCATGTTGTGCTTTTGCAGTTAAGGGCTACAAGCCGGAGCTGCAAGCTTCAGAATGTCTGACGTAGGTTGTATGCGGTGTTCTGAAAACTATTCGGATAACTTCAAAATTGTATTATATTGCACGTGTATGAGGGAAGAGATAAATAGAAGCAAAGGGGGAAGAGAAATTGACGTAGAGAGAGAGAGAGAGACAGATTGGTGCAGAGACAGAAACATTGACAGAGACAACGAAAGAGAGAGATTTTAGGCAAATTTTTTTTCAGATAATAAGGAGAGTGATGAAGATTAAGCCACCCAAGAGGTGGCACGGGCATGAATAGCCCGTAATGACTGAAGAGG